GCTACCAATATTTATTGACCTAGTTGGGTCCTATGGACACCAGATAAGATAGCATATGCTATTTCTATTGTCGCTTACTATGGATACCGGATAAGATAGCAGCGGATTCATTTGGTATGACTTCTGTTTTTTTGTAAAAAGTTTTCGAATAGTTTAATATACAATAGTCATATACCAAATGCATCATTTCCTACAAGAATTATTTTACATATATATATTAGGGTTTACGTGATGTACCAAATATTCAAGTGACGTTTCATCGTTGGCTAGTGGAAAAGCAGTGTAGCAAAATCCTGATAGATATAACTTGTACGAATTATGATGGGCCACATTCACTTTTTATTTATTTCTTCTCCTTACCGAAAGCCAAAAATAAAATAAAATGTTAAATGCACTGAATATATAACCAATTAGTTACTCCATAGTAATTGCCTTCATTCTTCTTCCTCTTCAGAGTGGGCAATCTAAATTTTTACACACAAACAAGTTTCACAATACACTGCCACTGAAAATGGGGTTACATAAAGATAAAATTGAAATTGAAGGACCAATTCTATCTAATTCAAACTTGGAGACTGGAGGACCATATTCATCTGATCGAAACTTGGAGGATGAAGCTAATAAGAAGACAAAGGTTGACAAAACGTAAAGGAATGGAAAACACGCTTTTACCATTGTGCTGTTCACTCTCTCTCTCCTTGCAGTTCGTTGCGATGAGCTCCACCTCACAAATCGATTTCGTCTGGCAGCTCCTTTTATTCAGGGATTTGCCATATGATAATTGTTATTGAGTCGTTAGATTGTACAATTAGTTTTTAGATTGTTGGAAGCATTACATTCAGGCCTCTGTATGTATAGCTTGGCTGCTATATAATTGGGTTCTTGCGTCTGTAAATTGTGTGAAAATTCAGTGAAATTCGAAGTATATTTTCTTCAGCAAAAGTTTGTTTTATTGTTAATTTCTTCTTGGTATCAGAGCTATGGCTGATTCATCTGAAACTCAGTCTCAAACCAATTCTTCTTCACTTTCAGCAACTCCCTCAGCTCGTTATCAATCAACTACACTAAATCTAACACAGAACCTCTCTATTAAGCTGGATAGAGACAATTTCCTGTTATGGAAAAATATGGTTATGCCCATTGTAAAAGGGCATAATCTTGAAGGACACTTGCTCGGAACGAAGCCATGTCCTCCTGAATTCGTTTCTATTCAAGAAACAACTGAATCAGGAACTGCAACCAAGCAGGAAGAAAATCCAGAATACATAAAATGGATTTCTAGTGATTCCCTTCTTATGGGATGGCTTTATGCCTCAATGTCACCTGATATAACCATGAGAGTCATGGGAAGCACTACTACTGTACAACTCTGGTCAGCGATTCAACAAAGCTTTGGAGTGTTAAACAAATCAAGGATGATATTTCTTTCTGGAGAGTTACAAAGGCTCAGAAAAGGAGCAATGACTATGGACCAGTATCTTACTAAAATGAAGAAACTGGCTGATAACCTGCAAGTTGCAAGCAAGGTGATTAATGAAGAAGATCTCATTAATCATGTGTTAACTGGACTTGACGAAGACTACACCCCAGTTGTGGTTCAGCTAAATGGAAAAGATCAGCTAAACTGGCATGAAATGACATCGATTTTGCTTACCTTTGAAGCAAGGCTTGACTATTTAAATGAAGCTAGAATTGGTATGGGATCTGTCAATCTCAGTCAAGGATACAACAGAGGAGGAAATTTCAGTGGTAGAACAAGGGGATTTGGCAGAAACACAGGCAATAGAGGTAGAGCAAGAGGCAGAGGAAGAAACATCAGACAAGGTGAATACAAAAATCCATGTCAAATTTGTGGTTTAACTAATCATCAAGCTAGCTGGTGCTTCAAAAGATACAATGAAAATTTTGGTGCTATGAAGACTGGAGAGTCAGTTGGATCTACTCACAGCAGTGTTGATACTCACTCAGCCTATCTGGCATCTTCGACTTTATTGGAAGATCTAGCTTGGTATGCTGACTCAGGAGCATCAAGCCATGTCACCAATAACCTAAAGAACTTGACAGACGCACAGCAATACACTGGTAATGAAGGGATAAAAATTGGTAATGGTAATTCTCTATCAATCACTCATATAGGTTTTAAAATTTTGTCTGACAATGGAACCAAAAATCTAGTGCTGAATAAACTGTTACATGTTCCCAAAATTAAGAAAAATCTCCTTAGTGTCTCTCAGTTTACCAAAGATAATGGAGTATTCTTTGAATTTCATCCTAATTTTTGTATTGTCAAGGAATTGCTAACGGGGAAACAGGTGGCTCAAGGGATGCTTAACGATGGACTTTATCAGTTGACCCTGCCTAAAGTTCAGTTTCAAGGATCAGCTTTAACAATTTCAAAATTTCCAGTACTTGCTTCTTCTTCAACCTGCACCACACCTCAGACTCAATCTCAGCAAGTCGAAATTTGGCATAGGAGACTAGGTCATCCTTCATTTCAAATATTGAGTTCTGTGATGAAGTCATGTAATAAACATTTTTCTGCTAATGAAATTTCCTTCTTCTGTGACTCATGTCAAATTGGAAAATCTCATAAACTACCGTTTAAATTGTCTGCCTCACATGCCTCATATCCGTTAGATTTAATACACACTGATGTCTAGGGACCATCACCCGTAAAATCAACTGTTGGATTTAGATATTACATGGTGTTTGTGGATGATTTTAGTAGATATACCTGGGTCTATCCTATGAAACATAAATCAGAAGCCATAAAACTCTTCATACAATTTAAGAATCTGGTAGAAAATCAATTTGATAGGAAGATAAAAGGGGTTCAAACTGACTATGGAGGAGAGTTTAGAGCCTTTGAAAAGTTTGCTGTAGAAAATGGAATAGAAATGAGGTTTTTTTGTCCATATACTTCACCTCAAAATGGTAGAGCTGAGAGAAAACATCGACACTTGACTGAAACTGCTCTTACCTTGTTGTCACAAGCTGAAATACCTCTTCACTATTGGTGGGAAGCTTTTTCAATGGCTACTTACCTTATAAACAGATTACCAACTCCTGTGCTTGATCTAAAAACACCTATCAGTTTCTATACAAAAGGGAAGTGAAATATGACGCTTTAAGAGTGTTTGGTTGCAGTTTTTTTCCCTATCTAAGACCCTATAATAAACATAAATTTTCATTTCATTCTCAAAAATGTGTGAACTTGGGTTTTAGTGCCTCTCACAAAGGATATAAATGTCTAAGTTCCACAGGAAGGGTGTTCATCTCCAGACACGTTGTGTTTAATGAAATTGATTTTCCATTCAAAACGGATTTATAGATAAACTCACACAGCCAGCCGATTCTATGATAATCACATATCCTCTGCCACTGACACCAGACTCTCAAAGCTTGACCTCCACTCACACATCACAATCTAGCACTCCTCAATTATCACCAAATCATCAGTTAAATACTACAGGTTTTACCACTCCCTTCCAGGTTACAGCTGATGTTCATCACTCAGCATCCCAGTCACCTTTGGCCCATGTTGATAGTTATGATAACATACAAAATATTGGGAGAGACACTATACAGTGCGAAGGAGTGGAAGAAATGGATGATGTTGGATCTACTGAAAGAGAAGCTAAAGGAAGAACAGAAACAACAGTTAATACTGAAGTGAATACAGGACATCACATGATGACTAGGGGAAAACTTGGAATTTTTAAACCCAATGTCTATTCTGCTGAAATCTCAGAACCAACTAATGTCAAAGAAGCTTTGTGTAATAGCAACTGGAGAAGGGCAATGCAGGCAGAGTTTAAGGCATTACAAAGAAATCAGACATGGGAATTGGTTCCTCGACAAACAGCCACCAAAATCATAGGCAGTAAATGGATTTTCAAGTTGAAATATGACTGTGAGGGAAACATAGAAAGGTATAAAGCCAGGCTAGTGGCTCAAGGCTTCTTACAAACCTATGGAGTTGATTTCAAGGAGACGTTCAGTCCAGTGATCAAGGCTTCAACCATAAAAATTATTCTAACTCTGGCTGTCACAAACGACTGGGTAATCAGACAAATTGATGTTAATAATGCGTTTCTAAATGGAAAACTCAATGAAGAGGTCTATATGTCTCAGCCTGAAGGTTTTATCGACAGCAAGTTTCCTGATTTTGTGTGTAAGTTAAAGAGAGCAATTTACGGATTGAAACAAGCTCCAAGAACATAGAATGATGAACTGAAAGGTACATTAACTGAGTGGGGAATGATTCAATCCAAGGCTGATAATTCACTCTATTATCAGTTTGAAGGAAACACCACCATTATTATTCTCGTTTATGTAGATGATATCATTGTTACAGGAAGTAACAAACAGCAGTTGCAGAATTTCATAGATAAGTTAAATGAGAAATAGTAGATGATATCATTGTTACAGGAAGTAACAAACAGCAGTTGCAGATTTTCATAGATAAGTTATATGAGAAATTCTCACTCAAGGACATGGGAAAATTAAAGAAGTTTCTGGGAATTGAGATAAAAAGAGATGAAGGTGGTTTAGTGTTCTCACAAAACAAGTATGCACTGGATATTATAAAAAGGTTCGGATTCAGCAATTTAAATCCAGTAACATCTCCTATGATATCCGGAAAACTCATTTCAAAGAATGAAGGCAGAGAATTATGTAATCCAACTCTCTTCAGAAGTTCAGTTGGTGCTCTTCAATACTTAGTTCACTCCAGGCCAGATTTATCATTTGCTGTGAATAGACTAAGCCAATTTTTGTAGAAACCAACAGACATACACTGGAATTTGCTAAAAAGGGTATTCAGATATGTTAAGGGAACATCAGACTATGGACTCAGAATACAGAAAGGAGGTGATCTCAACCTGACCGCATTCTGTGATGCTGACTGGGCTGCGTTTCCAGACGATAGACGATCCATAGCTGGTTACTGTGTATATCTGGGTGGAAATCTGATATCATGGAGTGCAAAGAAGCAACATGTTATTGCCCGGTCGAGTACAGAAGCTGAATATAGAGCCTTGGCTCTTGTAACATCTGAAATCTGCTGGACCCAATCGCTGCTCAGTGAACTTAAAGGCATCTCTGAAGTAACTCCAGTAGTATGGTGTGATAATTTAGGAGCAAAATCATTGGCACTAAATCCAGTATTTCATGCCAGGACCAAACACATTGAGCTTGATATACATTTTGTGAGAGACAAGGTGGCTAATAAGGAACTTGAAATCGAGTACATACCATCTGCAGATCAACTTGCTGATATTTTCACCAAACCACTGTCCACTGCCAGATTTTTGTCAATGCGAGACAAGGTAGGAGTTAAGTCTACTAACTCCACCTTGAAGGGGGAAGATAAAATTGAAATTGAAGGACCAATTCTATCTAATTCAAACTTGGAGACTGGAGGACCATATTCGTCTGATCGAAACTTGGAGGATGAAGTTAATAAGAAGACAAAGGTTGACAAAACGTAAAGGAATGGAAAACACGCTTTTACCATTGTGCTGATCACTCTCTCTCTCTCCTTGCAATTCGTCGTGATGAGCTCCACCTCACAAATCAATTCCGTCTGGCAGCTCCTTTTATTCAGGGATTTGCCATATGATAATTGTTATTGAGTCGTTAGATTGTACAATTAGTTTTTTAGATTGTTGGAAGCATTACATTCAGGCCTCTGTATATATAGCTTGGCTGCTATATAATTGGGTTCTTGCGTCTGTAAATTGTGTGAAAATTCAGTGAAATTCGAAGTATATTTTCTTCAGCAAAAGTTTGTTTTATTGTTAATTTCTTCTCATAATGCTGATAGACTTAGCCTTGTGTTCTTGATTCTCTTTAGTTTCTTGTTTCTTCTTTCCATTCCAGGATCTGTTGATGCATACAAGAATTATACTGTGGGTGATTCTTTGGGTTGGTTTGGCAATATTGAAAAGCCTAATGTTGATTAACAAAAATGGGCTTCAACCAAGAACTTCAGCCTGGGAGATTTCCTCAATAAGTGTATTCAAGAATTTCATTCTGTGTGTGTTTTACTTTTTACTGCTGCTACTGATATTTTTTCTGTATATATCTTTGAAACAAAGTGAAAGTGATAGATATAGATGATGAATCTATAGTTAGAGATTTTTAATTTGATTTTAATCAGTGTTTTTTTTTTGTTCTAAATAAAGAGAGATTAATGGATTTCTGGGGAATTTTTTTCCAAAAAAAAAAAAATTAACTAACTAAACTACCATTTTTGGAATTTTAATTTCATTCTTTTGTTTAATCCCTTCTCTGTGCTTAATTAATTTGTGGTACTGACTTGCTTAACTTTTTAGCAAGATAGGCTTAGAACCTTATTGATAATTCTGGAAAAATATTTTTATTTGCTGATCAGATGTTAGTATGATCACCTTGTGCTTAGAACTTTACTGATAATTTTGGGGGGGAAAAAAAAATTTGGTGGTTGGATTCACTGTGCTGAATTAAATATAAAAAAATAATATTTCTTTATGTTGTTGACTCTTTAATCAATGAGATATGTTCTATTATGAAGTAGGGTTGGTTTAACCACACTAATAATTGGGTCAAGTAATTTGGAATTAGGTTTTGTAATAAGAAGCCTATAGCTCTTATCAAACCATGAGTTGCCTAGCTTGAAGTCACAAAAAGATGTAGGGATTCCAGTTCGCAGTCATACCAAGGATACGCAGGATTAATGAAAAATCAAAAGTTGCTTATGAGTAAGAAATTAATTTTAGACACGTTTGGATAATTTTTTAAAAGCATTTCATCTGACTAGAGGAACTTTTAGATGAAGTTGATGTAAGATAGCTTTCTCACGAAACTCTTTTACTAAAATTGGAAGCAGAAGCACGAGCACGAGCACGAGCACAAATTCTCTCAAATACATTTTTCACAAATGCACTCAAGATGTGTTTGGTATGACTGTACATGACATATATTGCAAAATAATATAAAATAGCTGGTGCACCCTTATTTTGATTTAAAATAAATATTACATCGGACAGTCAGACCATTTAGAGAGATTTCTAGGTTCAAAATAACATATATCTTTTTTTCATTTTTCTTTTTCAATTTTAATTGAACCAACTAGTATGTCAGGCTCACTTTCTACATGATTGTGTATTTTATTTCCCTCAAATTCTTCATGATCAATAAATCCAAATCGAGTGATTGTTAACCTAAATTTCCATTCCAAATCGTTCTGTTCTCCATTCGAGTGAGTCCCAATCTAGGACAATGAGGTCGAATATTTTTATATATAATTTTTTTTTATGGAAAATAGTTGGCTCACTTCTAGATGTTCATTCTAAAGGATAAATAAAGTTCTCGTTTGACCTTCATTAAATTATAATTCATTTTTCTTTCTTTTCTTATCAATTATACATTTTCTAATAAAATAATATTACACATAAATTTAAAAACCCTTCATTCTTTTTAACTACACATTCTCAAAAAATATATTTTTTCTTTCATAATAATGTGAATTAATGGGGCCAAACGGAGCAAAGTTTCGTGATTCCAAGGCTCAAATGCGTCTAGAGTCGTCGGGTGAGGTTTTAATAGCCAATCTTGTTTGACATTTTTTATACATTGATTTTAACGAAGGTCTTTTCAATCAATGGCTAAATTTTCTATTGGGATTTGAGAACAATACATAATTCCTAGTTTTAAATATCACATTTCATAAATAACAAACTCGTTAAGATATTTCAAAAATTAGGTGATAAATAAATTTATTAAATATTAAAATACAATATAATATACATTAATTATTTCCGCCAAGGTCACCTTACCTTCCCCATCATATCACCCCATTACACCACCTTCCCTCCACCTTTACACCGGAGACTGCCATCGGCTTCGGCGACTATTCCGGCGATCACTCCGACTACGACTCCGGCGACTTAAAATTTTTTAGAAAATTAAAAATTGAAAATCATACCCCCACCCCATGGATCCAACTATTACCACCCCCATTCGCTAACACATGTCATCCGTGACTAATCGTGATCAAGTTTGTATTCAATGTGACTAACTGTGACCAAATTTGTGTTCATTGTAACTGTCTGTGACTAGGTCAATATCAAGTCACAATTGGTCACAATCAACACAAAAATGGTCATAATCGCTAACACATGAAGATCCAATGCTCGTAGCTGCAACCAGCATACCGTACCACCGCATATAACACTAGTAACCACCGCCAAAACACCACAAGTCACCACCATAATACCCCACACCACACCACACCACACCACGCCTAACCTCAACCAAACCCAACCACCACTACGCACCACCGCACCAAACCACCATATCAAAAATTAAAAAAAAAAAAAAGAGGATTAATGGATCGCACCGTACGCAGCGAAGATGAACACCCAACCACTGGGGGCCACTAGTATTCACAACATCCCCCAACCATCTCCGGCACCAGAGAGATAGACAGGAGAAAGGGCTACATTACAGCCCCTCTCTAGCAACTATGTACTGCCACCACTGTGACCACACTAGCATCTCGCACTACCACCACCTCCTCCACCTCCAACCTTATCGCATCTAGAGAAGACGGTATGAAGAAGATTGTGGTTTGAGGAAGACGGTGGTCGAAAGAAGACGACGATTGGATCTATAGAGAGAGAGTGTGTTGTTGTATGGAGAGATAATTTTATTTTATTTTTTAAGGAAAAGAATAGAAAGAATGGAAAAGAAAAGGACATTTGGAATCAAGATATTTACTTGGGTGGGTATGGTGTGGTGTGGTGTGGTGTGTTGGAGAGAGAAATCATTTAACTAATAGAATATTAAATCCATGTTTTCGTGTAAGTTTCTCTTTTCTACTGGGTTGGATCTGAATCCTGCTTGTAGCTACAGACTTCCCGAGTAGAAAGTTATGTTCCACCATGCCCACGCTCTCCGCTTAACTTCCTGCAAATTCCTTTGCAGTCACATTCATGTCCAACATAAAATCTTCTTTCTCTCCGCCGCCGCCGCATCATCCCAATGGCAGCGGACCACCGATATCCTCCTCCTCTGTGACGCCGTTCAAACCCTTTCCCATACCCAACAAATCCACGCACAGGCCATCCTTCACGGCCATCTCCCCCACAGTGTTTCCATTTCCTCAGCCCTCATCCTCTCTTACGCCAACTTATATTCCCACCCCTCCACCCTTTACGCTCTCTTCTCTCAGACCCTCCCCTTTTCTCGCTCGCTTTCCTCCATAACACTCTCATCAGGGCATACACTGTTCTAGCCAGTGGGTCCCAAAAAAGCTACATAGATGCTGCTTCAGGGTTTCTGATATACAACGACTTGTTCAGGAACACTGGTTTCCCGCCAGATGATCACACATTTTCTTTTGTACTGAAGCTTTGTGCGGATTTTTTAGAAAGAGCAAAAGGGTTAGAAGTACATGGGATGTTGATCAAGACTAGGTTTAATGATAATGTGTTTGTCAATAACACCCCTTCTTCTGTTTTATGGGAACTGTAGGGATTTGGGCAGTGTTGAGAACCTGTTCAACGAAATGCCTAAAAGAGACTTGATCGCATGGAGTACTGTTATTCGGGTATTTTCAGATAACGGATGTTGGTTGGAAACTGTTAGGTTGTTCAAGGACATGGTTTTGGCGTCCAGGTTTAGGCCTGATGCGGTCACTGTTGTGAGTGTGTTGCCTGTATGTGCAGGGCTCGAGGATGTAAATTTAGTTAGTTCGGTTCATTGTTACGTCTTCAAGGTTGGTTTGGATGGTGAAGTGAGGATTGGCAATGCGATGGTCGATGCTTATGGGAAGTGTGGGAATGTTGAGGCTTTAAATGGGGTGTTTGATGAAATGGTTGAAAGGAATGAAGTTTCTTGGAATTCAATTATTGGTGGTTTTGCACATAGAGGTTTTAATACTGATGCTTTGTATAGTTTTAGGCTAATGATTAATGAGAATGTGAAATTGAATTCTACAACTATTGCCACTATGCTACCAGCATTGGTAGAACTAAGATTTTTCAGTAAAGGAAGAGAAGTCCATGGTTTTAGTATAAAAATGGGGGTAGACTCTGATGTTTTTGTAGCTAATGCATTGATTGATATGTACGGAAAATGGGGACATTTCACTGGAGCTTCAAATGTGTTTTATAAGATGGACCTGAAGAATGTAGTATCGTGGAATTCCATGATCGGTAACTTCGCTCAAAATGGGAGAGAGTTGGAAGCTATAGAACTTGTTAGGGAAATGCAAGCTCATGGTGAAATTCCTAACTCTGTTACTTTGACAAATGTTCTTCCTGCATGTGCCCGACTAGGTTCTCTTCACCAGGGAAAGGAAATACATGCCAGGACAATCAGAAAAGGGTCTGCCTTTGAATTATTTGTCTCAAACGCATTAACAGACATGTATGCTAAATGTGGCTGCCCAGATCTTGCTCAAAACGTATTTGATACATCTCTCAGAGATGAAGTATCCTATAATATATTAATCACAGGCTATTCTCAGACAAGTGAGTGTCACAATTCTCTTAGCCTGTTTTCAGAAATGGAACTGGTGGGGATGAAACAGGATATAGTTTCCTACATGGGAGTACTCACCGCGTGTGCAAACATGTCGGCAATCAGAAAAGGAAAGGAGGTCCATGCATTTGCAATGAGAAGGTTATTTCATGAACATCTTTTTATTGCAAATTCACTTCTAGACTTTTACACTAAATGTGGAAGGACCAACATTGCCAGGAAGGTTTTTGACCGTATCCCTTTGAGGGATGCTGCATCATGGAATACCATGATTTTAGGGTTCGGAATGCTTGGAGAAGTAGGTACTGCAATCAATCTCTTTGAAGCCATGAAGGAGGATAACTGAAACTTCTCTATAAATAACGGTTAAAAAGAGTTTGAGATTCACCTCTAGTTTCATATATTATGGCTGATTTAGGGTTAAGCAGAATTGCCGAATTGCCACAGTGAGATGCTCAACCGCTTCTTCAAGCTTTTCTGAACAGCAAAAGCCATGTTCATACTAACATATAAAAAGCGTAACCAGCTTACATATTACCTTCATCATATATTGCTTTCATAGCCTGAATCTCAGCCTCTTGAGAAGCATTCCTGTTTTCTGCAGTAACCTCGATGGAGGAATCTCCCATCTACAAAATTTATTTTCTGGAAATTCATCCTCTTTGGATATAACAACCGAAATGCAAGTCAAAGAAAAAAAGTAAATGTAAATTTCTTAAACCTTTTGTGGAGGATCATTATCAGGCTCCACGACATAGCTCTCATCAAGTTCAATGTCAGACTCTACAATCTCTGGCTCTTCTTCTTCTTCTTCTTGTACATTGCATGAGCCAGTCGCATCCTCTGTCTCATCCCTATAGTCACAAGTATCAACCGCCCAAGAGTGCTGTGTTCCCTATCACAACATACAAACTAAAACTCACATATTCCAGGACAGAAGAAGATATGGAATTAGTGAAAATTTGCATTTTAACACCTCTAACCATGCACCCTTATGCTCTAAACCTATAACCATATTAGTTTCTTGCCTTCTCCAGATAATGGCATGTCATCATGTACAAAACAGTTCCATGGAGCTTCAAGTTTGTGTGCACAAGGAAAATTGAACTCCTAACTGAATTAATTTCCCTTTTCGTTTGTTTGTTGCAATTAGTACTTATATGCCAAATTCTGACTTTGAATTTAGTTTTCAATATGGATGATCATCCAAACTGATCAAATATATATGAGATAAGTTGGATTTAAAAACGAAGAAAAATGATGTACCGCTTCAGTATCCCACGCAGATTCTGGAATCTTCCCTCCAAGACTGAAAAATAACAAAAGGAAACAGGAGACAAAATTCATATCCAAAGTACAACATCAACTCTATAAATCATGTATAATCTCACCTCCAAGACTGAAAAATAACCAAAGAAAGCAAGAACACCAAAAGCACAACATCAACTTTTATCCAAATGCACACATTACACACACACACACTAAAACCTACATTAATTTATCCATACATCCATATATATATATATGAATAATCAAAATTCATATCAAACCACAACATCAACTCGATAAACTTCGACAAATGCCAATTTCTTGAAGAAACTATAGAATTGTGTAGGTGTTTGTGTATATGGTGACCAAAACTTACATCAATTGATGCACATGCCTGCATCCGTACATGAACACTCACTAAAACTGACATTAATTTCATATAAAAACATAACATGAATCCTACTAAAAAAAAAAAATACATCAATTAACACGAATGCAATCGAAATTAATTAAATGTGCATGGATGCACAACCTTTCGATGTAATCACAGAAGAAGTCGATAAGAGGATCAGACAGGAGGGTCGGGTCGTTCACAAGCTTTGGAACTAGTCGCTGCAGTGCATCTATATCCTGATTATCCATCGTTATCACTTACTACTACTTCTCTATTGAATTCTAAGCTGAACTTGGGAATGGATTGTATATTCTGTTGAATTTGAAGGTTGTGCAGTAAGCAACTGAAATGGGATCATGGGGATTTGTTCTTAAGGTGGTTAAGTGCTAAATCTTCGGTTATGAAAATCTCTGAGAAGACGGTAACAGAGTTTGGATGCTCATTTCCCGCCTTGGGGTCTAGCTTAAATCATGTTCAATGGTAAAGCATTATTAAAATATAATTTTTATCCTCTTCGTTGGACCCACGTGATATAATTTGAGAAATGCTATGGCCATAACCGACAGGCCCCCTATTGGTCCACCCCAATAGAGGGTCTCCATGTGTCCATTATAGACACCATTATGTTAAGGGTTATGCACCCTTAGCATTTCCCATATAATTTACCAAATCCACTTAGCCACCGTTTGGTAACCTTAAAATTTAAAAAATATAGTTTTAAAGAATGTGTGGTTGAAAATTAAGAAAAAAATTGGATTGACGTATAGAATGTTTTATTGTGTGAATATATGGTTGAAAAGTATGAAAAATAAATTAAAGTGAAGTAGAGGGAATCAAATGGGAATCTTAGTACTGTAACATAAGTATGCGATAGGGAAAGACATGTCTATTTGATACAGAAAGAAAATTTGAGGGGCCTTTTGCGGGCTGGCTAGAGGCCACTTAGTTCGATTAGATCTGATTTGAATGAATCAAGTTTTCTTAAAGTGAATATCGGTCTCTTTATGTCTTGCTCCAAAAAGAATAGAAATATCATCTTGATTTTAATCCTTACCAAACAAGGGCTTATAATTCATTATTTAATTGATTGGTCACCAATGAGATGATTAGTTGCTTGTTGTAGTGTTGAGAGATTCACAATAAATTTAGAACGCGACAAAACTAACATGTGTAATAGATGTTAAGAATAATATTTATCACGTGTGCAATTATATTAATAATCTAAAATTTAATGCGTTCTAATCATTCAAATTTGGGTTAGGAATAGACTCGGGTCGTGATTAGAACAAAGTAAATTTATCTTGACAAAGAAAATGAAATACATTAGCTTTATCGATTGTCAAAAACGCATTAATGTGATTAAACTATATATTGAGAATTAAAGTAAATAGCAATAGACGAATTCGAATGCCAATACAATTATCCACAATTTGATACAAACACTTTTTACCACTTTACTAGATCAATTTAGAATAATCACAAAATTAAAACCTCATTTGTTTATATATTTCGAATTCCATATAGACCTAGTAAATTTGAATTGAATTTATTCCATGTGGGACGATACTTTCAATTCATCAAATCTATTATTTGTTAATGATTTCATACGCTTGTGAATTTCACACAAACAATTAACCTACATTGAGTGTGAATTCTACAACATCCTCTGGAATGACAATTCATTATTTAATGGTACGTAAATGTAACTAATTGTTCAAACAAGTATTCAGAGTTATTTATGAATCCGACAATACTATGTTATTTCCTTTACTTGTATTGGACATCTTTAATTTTTTCGTTTCAACATCATATTTCGTCAAATTTTATCAAAATCTACTAAAATTTTGAATTTTATTTAAACCAAATAGGGGCTAAATATCCAAACCCATGTCGTCCTCATTTCTGCATGGAATCATGTAAAGTCATTATTCAACTTTGATAATGACGGTACGTCTAAGGGCCTAAATATGCAAGAATTAAGGCGTGCATGCACTAATTACACTATTGGCGGGCGAGGCACCCAATCGATCGTTAGGGTACTTAGTGTTGGTGGACATAGTATAGGAGCTACCAATATTTATTGACATGGTCCGATCCTACTCATTTGGCATGACTTTTGCTTTTTGTAAAGAGTTTTCGAATGGTTCAATATATGATAGTCATATAACAAACGCATCATTTCCTAGAAGAATGATTCTACACATTTCATATATTAGGGTTTACACTAATACACATTTCATTATTGGCTAGTGGAAAAGCAGCGTAGCAATACCCTGATAGATATAACTTGTACAAATTATGATGAGCCACGTTCACAATTTATTTATTCATCTCCTTACCAAAAGCCAAAAATAAAATAAAATGTTAAAGACACTGAATATATAACCAATTAGTTACTCCGTAGTAATAGACTAGTAGTTGCCTTTATTCTTCTTCTTCTGCTGAGTGGGCAATCTAAATTCTTACACACATAAACAAGTTTCACAATACTAATACTGATAGGCTTAGCCTTGTGATCTGTTGATGCATACAAGAACTTTACAGTGGGTGATTCTTTGGGTTGGTATGACAATATTGAAAAGCCTAATGTTGATTACCAAAAATGGGCTTCAACCAAGAACTTCAGCCTGGGAGATTTCCTCAGTAAGTGTATTCAAGAATTTCATTCTGCGTGTTTTACTTTTTACTGCTGCTACTGATATTTTTTCTGTATATATCTTTGAAACAAAGTGATAGATATAGATGATGAATCTATAGTTAGGGATTTTTTAATTTAATTTTAATCATTTTTAATTTTTTTTGGATTTATGGTTCTAAATAAATAGAGATTAATGGATTTCTGGGGGATTTTTTTTCCAAAAAAAAATAAAATTAACTAACTAAACTACCATTTCTGGAATTTTAATTTCATTCTCTTGTTTAATCCCTTCTCTCTGCTTAAATAATTTGTGGTACTGACTTGCTTGTCATGAAATGAAAAATATTTTTATTTGCTGATCATATGTTAAAACGATCATCTTATGCTTAGAACTGTACTGATAATTCTGGAAATAAAAAATAAAATAAAATTTTGTGGTGGTTGGATTCACTGTGCTGAATTAAATATACAAAAAAATATTTCTTTATGTTGTTGACTCTGATGAATGATAGGTTCTATTATGAAGTAGGGTTGGTTTAACCACACTAATAATTGGGTCAAGTTATTTGGAATTTGGTTTTGTAATAAAAAGCCTATAGCACTAATGCTTGAAGTCACAAAAAGATCTAGGGATTCCAGTTCACTGTGCTAGTAAGGTACATTTGACAGGATTTTTGAAAAATTAAAAGTTGCTTATGAGTAAGAAACTAATTTTTGACACGTTAAAATAATTTTTTGAAAGTATTTTATTTTACTAGAAGAACTTTAGATGAAGTTGACTAGCTTTCTTACGAAACTCTTTTACTAAAATCAGAAGCGGAAGCACAAGCACAAGCACAAATTCTCCCAAATACATTTTTCACAAATGCACTCAAGACTCGTTTGGTATAACTATACATGACGTATAATACAAAATAATATATAATCTATTTTAACTTTTTTTTGGGGAGAAATGAATGCACAAGTTGCATTCCCTTTTCGGGTTTTTGTTTTTTTTTTGGACATGGTGTAGCTAAACTCTTGGTAAAAGTTAAGTGAATCCCACTAAATTGCACGCATTTGTTTCTTAAATGTAAGTCAAAATTACGTTTAAGTAAAGTTTTATTTTCCGAACATGCTATCGTATGTTACTTTTTAAGGAAACTTGCTTATGATACGTTTTCCTTGGTGGTATTTCTGCCATCACGCATATTGTTCAATGCTGTCAAATCTCACATATCAAACATTCTCTAAGCATCCATTTTTGCCGTCTCGCACTCACATAACTCTTCTTTTTTGTCAATGCAGTTTTCAACACAGATAACAATCATTCAGTAATCCAAACATACAATTTCACAACCTACAAGCTTTGTGATTATGAGGATGCCCTAGACAATGACACAATCCAATGGTCATCAGATGATCCTTCATCCCCTACCCCACACCTTGTTTCTGTTGCAGTTCCTCTTGTCAAATTGGGAATGACTTATTTTTTCTCAAGTGATTATATATGATGGTTGGCAATGCCAAAAAGGGCAGCATTTTAAGATTAATGTCACTTATGGTCAAGGATTACCACCAAGTTTAAAGACATCGTCTGGCGATTCTCCTGCCCCGATCAGTCCAGAATTTGGCGACGACGAGTCAGCACCGGCGACATTAGTTCCATCTAATTTTGATAATCCTAAGGATACCAGTGATGATTCAGCAGAACCATCTGAGTCTGTTCCTTTGTTTGCTATTTCAAGGCTCTTTGGTGTTCAATTGTATGCAGTATTAGTTATGCTAGGATTCTTTTTTATATATTTGGAGAAAAATATATTTATTAACTTGTTTACTTTATCTCTATTCTTATAATTTGCTTTTATTAATGTTGTCAAAATTTAATTAAACCAATCAAAAGGTTGCATGTAAGAAAATTATTTGTATGCAAGTTTAATGTTATTTACTAATTTAAACATCGTTTTCCTGCTAAAAATAATATTTTTTAGTTATTATGATTGAGAAAATAATTTAAAAATAAATGTCAAATATAAATTATATTTAAAAATTAAAATTTGAACCCACCCATATTTGAGGATTCCCCCCCCCCCCTCTTCTTGAATCATCAATTTCAATCATTTCATTAAGCAATGCCGTCGCAAACAGTCCGGGCAATAAACAAAGTAATACATGAAGTCCATCTAATAGAATAATGAAAAATAAAGTGTGAGAAGTTAGCTCGTGCGCCGCTATATTCCTCTCACGAGAAATATACTATTATTAACATGTCGAAGCAAACTAGATACATCACTCAAAAGAGCAAAAGAAAAGTTAAATTCCAACAAACTTTAATATTTCACCATGGCCAATGAACTTTATACGGTAAGTAGCTTAACATTCTTTACAACGGGTCTCGGACCTTTGATTTCTAGCACACGGGGTCTTTCGTAACACAAAAAAAAAAAAAAAAA